CAGGGAAGCGAGGCTGTTCGTCACTTTGTACGGCGAGTTGCCCAAATAAGCAGAAAGGATTCCAGGCCGTTATGACTCCTTTACGCGGTACATGGGCCCCCAGGAAGCCGCGGCATTGTGGTTTGATGTTGCTGAGAAGGCCCTCTGTGAGGCCCATGGCATCCAGGATCGCAAGTTGTTTTAGGCCGCTCCCGAGGGTGCAAGCTCCAGTTGGTGCCGTTGCAAGCGGCCTGGAGCCAAGATCTGCACCCTAGGAGTAATCTCACGACTCGCAGGTGGCTCTCTTTTCGGCGTTTGTCCATTGCGTTGATGCAGGGCCGAAGGGAGGCCAAGATTCGGGAGCTTGCGTCTGGTTTCCAGAATCTCTTCTCGGCGGCCTTGGCAGCAGAGCTAAAAAGCCACACGGTCGAGTCCGTTGTTTCGCTCCTCCTTGAACCCTCCTCCCGCAGCAGAGCAGCTGACCTGCTCCAGGAGGAGGTACTGCGCAGGGTGAGACAGGAGGCGGCAGAGGGCCGCCAGAAATTGAGGTCTTGGGCTCAGTCGTCCGTCGGTGATCGGGGGTCGAGGGTGGCTCGCAAGTACATCAAAGGCCCTGCCCCTCCGCCCCTGCCAGTCTTTGCTGGCGATTCTGCTTTGGAGGAGCAGCAACTTGGAGGTCAACGGCCGCTTGTTGGACAGCAGGCCCTTGATCAGACTTTTACAGCAGTGGCCCCCGATTTGGAGCAATCCGAGGAGGCAGGATGAGGTCGAACCGTTGAGCTGGACAATGGACGGAGACTCGGCTCCGATCACGGTTGGGGGCGCCTTAGAGGCGGCGGCCTCCTTTTCGCCACCCACAGCGTTAAGGTGGGACTCTTTCAGTCCCAGGTTGCTGCTCCAGCTGTCTAGGCCAATAGTCCAATCGTTCGTGGACATCCTCAATGCCTGGGAGAAGCACCCCACGTCAGGGCCCACGCGGCTTGTCCTGATCGTGTTTTTGAGTAAGCCATCGGGGGGTGTCAGACCCATTGGACGTCTTCCTCTGTGGGCTCGCGTGTGGGGTCGCATCCGTCACAGGCTGTGATCTGAGTGGGAGCCTTCTCTGGATGTGCGTTTGTTTCTGGGGAATGAGTACCAGCACAGCCCGCGACAAGAGCGCATGGGTCCACAACGCTCTTGCAGCGTATGCACGCTCGGTTCCTGGACTTGAGACGTGCACGCTGCTTTTGGACTTGCGCAAGCTTTATGAGCACATATCACACCAGGAGCTGAGGTCTGCAACAGAACACGCAGGATTCCCCTTGCCATTGCTCCGTGCATATTGCGCAGCGTATCGAGCGCCTCGCAGAGTGACTTGGTAAGGGTCCATCAGCCGCGATTTTTTTTCGCAACGGCACTGTGATAGCTGGCTGTTCGGGAGCTACTTCTTTGGCGCGCCTCCTCTTGCTGGCCTGCCGCAGGAAAGCTTCTGTGGCCAACCCCACGGCATGGCTAAATAGTGTCATAGATGATGCATCGCTGCACGCAGTCGGCGGCGCGGCGACGATCAGGCGCGAGCTTGTTTCATCCTGTTCGACGATTGCGGCGGACTTGAAAAAGGAAGGGTCTGCCCATAGCTGTCAATAAGCTCAGCCTTCTATCGTCTTCGAAGGTGCTGGCAGAACAGGTTATTTCCGACTGCGACCCCCCCCCCGCTGATGTCAGATGCCAGGTCCACCGAGACCTTGGGGGGGGCGCAACGGATGGATCCCGTCGGCGTGTGTCGACGCAACAGGACAGATATGCTGATGCCCAGAACAAGATTTCAAAAGTGTTGGCCCTTCGGGGTGCTGGGGCGTCCGTCGGGAATGTTGTTTCGAGCTGGTGTCTCGGCCAAGGCCCTTTGGGGGGCCAACATCCAGGGCCTCCCGAACGGCAAACTGAAGGGCTCAAGGGCGTCAGCTCTCAGTGCGGAGGGCCGTCTGCCGAGAGGAAGCTCGCTAGAGCTAGCCTCCACGTGTACGCGAGGAGGTTGGGCTCGTGACCCTCTTGTTCTGCTCACGTATGATGCGATCAAGACTCATGTGCAGATTCTGCAGGATGGCATGCTGACTGACCCAGTTGTTTCGGCCCTTTTTGCCGCGGTCTTCGCCCTGGCCGAGCGACCCAAACCCTGGGCTCAGGTCAAAGACCCCGTGGGAGCGTTAGTGCTCACGATGGCCCGTATGGGCTTTCGTTTCCTGGACCCCTGGACGGTTGCTGAAGCCTCAGGAGAGAGGTGGCTTTTGAAAGATGGTCCTCCAGCGTTTGTAGCACGACGTGCCCGTTTTGCGGCCAGGCGGCACTCTGACGAGGCAGGCCTCAAGAAAGTCGGCGGCGGGAGGTCGTGGGTGGGAGGCATCTTTTGGAGGCCGCTCAATGAGTTGCTGCACCTCAAGGTCCCTGAAGATGAGTCGGGGGCGGAGGCGTCTACTGGCACGGGGGGGGCCCGGGGATTTCGAGGGCAGCGGACCTTGAGGGGGCGGGTCATAGGCTCGCACTGGCGCCAGTACAGACTGCACCAACATGATGCAGAACTGTCGCGTGCATGCCTGCTCTGTGGTGAGCAGGGTACCCTTTTCCATCGGCACTTTTGTTGCCCTGCCAGAGCCCCTTGGAGAAGGGGCAATCTTCCACCTGAAGTTAAAGCCGCTGCCCAAAGACTGTCTACCTTTTCGGTGGACCTCCAGGAGCGCTTTGCCCGAGGAATCCTCCCTGATCCCTGTCAGTTGATCTCGCGCCGACCTTGGGATCCGTCGTGGGAGTGCAGGGTTGAAGGGCAGGGTGCGCCGCTCATGCTCCAGGGAGGCCACGTGCTCTGTGACGGCTCTGGCATGGATGGCTTTTTTCCTCCGCTCCGAGTTTCAGGTTGGGGAATCGACATCTACGACCATGAGCGCAGATGGGCGGCCGGGTGGTATGGAGCTGCCCCCCCCCACTCGCTGCCCAGATCAGGTCGCCCGTGACGACGAAGCCTTTGCTGTTTTATAGCTGCCAGATTTATTGGCGGCTCGTATACCTTGTACTCTGATTGCAAGGGCACGCTTCAGTGCCTTGCTGATCCCAGGTTCGCCTGCCGTTCTAGCAATGCGCGGGCCCATCTTTGGCGCGAGACTTTCGCCCAGGGCTCGCTTGGGGAAGCCGGCTGGAAAAAGGTGGTTGCCCACTCTTCGACGGCCGATGTCCGCGAGGGGCAAATTTCTGAATTCGAGAGGACCGGCAACGCCCAGGCGGACAGACTGGCGAAAGCAGGTGCAGAGCTGGGTAGACATGGCCAGCAGGACATAATGCTGTGCAAAGGCATGCTGTTTCTAGCTCGCCAGCTCATAAAGTTCATAACCAGAGCTGAAGTTTTTTACTCTGAAGAGGGCCGATGCGATAATATTGGTGCGACCCAGCGCGGGCCCAGGCCGAGGACTGGGCGAGGAAGGCGGAGGAGGAGGAGGCTGCTGCTGCTGCTGCTTGCGCCCCGCCTCCGACCCAGCCCCAGAGCCCGCCCCGGGCTCCCTCTGAGCCATTGGCGCCCGAGTTAGCTCGTCAGGCTGCTGATGAGGCCCAGTTCCCTTGGGCCGCAGGAGGCCATCAGCTCCTGGAGCCCCCCGTTTCGGGCCTAGATCAGGCCCCGTTGTTGTTTTGCTCCACTTGCGGGGCGCATGCGACCATCGGCGCCAGGCCTCAAGGCCTCAAGAGTGCCTGTCAGGGCTCCCAGGTAGCCTTGGTAGATCCAGGGAAGAAGAATAAGAAGGTTTTTTTCAAGGGCAAGCATCCGAACCGCCCCCTCAGGCTGGGCCCCTGGGTGACTCCTGGGGAGCGTCCTCGGGAGTTGTTCGCGGGTGGCTTTCAGGAAGAAGGAGCCCAGCTGGGGGGAGAGCGGCACGTGGCTGCTCGGTTTGTTGCGGGGCCTCGAGACCTGCGCCTGGCTGACTGCCTCCATGCGTTCGGTTTGAACGAAGGCGAAGCCCGAGAGCTGGGAGCCCCGTTGAAGAATAAAGGGCAGGAAGACATGCCCCAGGACGAAGACGGCGAGTTTTTTTTCCTAAGGGGGGTCCTGTCGCTGGCCCCTGGCAGGTCTTCGGCCTTCCTGCCAGGGTGGCAAAAAGTTCCTCTCGGATGGACCCCCCCTGGGGTTTTCGGCTGACCGTCGGACTTTCTCTCCCTCTCTTTCTCCCCTTAGTGGCGTGCGATCCTCCTCCTCATCCTCCTCCTCCTCCTCCTCCTCCTCCTCCTCCTCCTCCTCCTCCTCCTCCTCCTCCTCCTCTTCCTCCTGCTCCTGCTCCTGTTCCTGTTCCTGCTTCTGCTCCTGCTCCTGCTCCTGCTCCTCCTCCTCCTCCTCCTCCCCCTCCTCCTCCTCCTCCTCCTCCTCCTCCCCCTCCTCCTCCTCCTCCTCCTCCTCCTCCTCCTCCCCCTCCCCCTCCCCCTCCCCCCCCCTCCCCCTCCCCCTCCCCCTCCCCCTCCCCCCTCCCCCCCCCCTCCCCCTCCTCCTCCCCCTCTGTGAAGCGAAGCTCACAGGGTGCACTCCTTTTCCACACGGCCAGCACTCGTCCTCGTTGCTGGCCTCCACCAGGCGTTCCTCTGGCACCTTCTCGCACACGCACGCGCTGCTGAGCTGGGAGAGATAGGGCGTTGGGCATGGAGTGTTCGTATTGGGCTCGATATAAGTAGAAATAGGAAAGGCGAGAGAGGTACTCTTACCTCCGGGGCACCCGTGGCCCCGATGAAGGCCTGTAGCACAAATGGCTATGGACAGAGCGAATGACTGCACGCTGAGACGAACCGAGAGAAATCGACACCAGTCCAAAAACATTCTCGCTCAAGTCCATAATTGAAACAAAACGGGCCTGAAAACGCACGTGGGTCACTTACCAGCAGGGTCTGCCACATCACCCCAGAGATCTGGCCTACAATCAAGGCAAGTCACATTCTCTAGAGCCTGGATACCTAGACTCTTACGCTTCTTGGCCGACTCAAACATCTGATCGTAAACTAGACGCCACTTACACTCGCTACTGAAAAAAGTCTAGCTGCCATCGTTCATGGCCCTTGGTGAGACTGTTGGCGAGCATGGCGTCACTGTGTACCCAGCGCACAGGGCATCCACGCGCTGATATCCCGCCCCTCAGGGCGAGCAGCTCAAGACCCGTCCGGAACTCCTTGCCACCCATGAGCTTCTCTGGACAGCGCAAACGATCATACAAGTTCTTAGAGTCGGTGATCAGGCAGCCTGGGATTTTCCGAACCTGGCCCCATGGATCTCTGAGGTCTGGTTTCCATCCCGAGAGTTCTCCCAGAAGGAATCTCACATATGTGACCTCGTCCTCGGTGTTGACTGTAGCGGGAACCTCTGCTGCTGGCGGTGACCGACACGCGCGCTCGACTTTACCAGATCTCCAACTGATCAGGGAAACTCCTGTCTCCTCGCCGGCAAGGAAGCACAGCGGCACGATCCCGACGACGCGGCCCTCAGTCGACTTGCCGTCAACACGGTTGCCAAACGCGGCGTCGCCCCAGCCGACAATCGCCAGCTCGCTGTCCACGAACGGGAAGATCTTCAGCACCCTCTCCTTAGTCTCCTTGGTCCGCTTGATCAGCTTATTGACCTTCAGAAGGTCATCTACGGTGCATGACTCCGTCTTGCTCTGCAGCATGCTTAACTCCGCCAGGATGTCCGGCCCAGTCTGGGTGCCCTTCCACTGCAGGCTCCCCGTGGCAGCACGGAACTGGCTCTTCTCGGCGTTCGTCACGGGCGCTGAGGGTTGCTTCCTTCGTTCAGCTGAGACCTCGATCTCCTCGATCTGCTCCGTGTAGGTTGCCTGGCTCAGCGTGAAACCGAGATCAGGTCTCTGAATGATGTCGACGCCGCACTGGGTGAACGTGTCGTATTTCCACTCGGTCCACCTGAACGCCTCCATCACCTGGCGCCTTGCCTGCTGCCAGACCTTGTCCGCTTCGCGGCCAGCGAACAAGAAATCATCCACGCGACATAGAGCAATGGCTACGACGTAGTCTGGGCCTCCCGCTGCTGAGGAACTCGTCAGGACCCACACACATGGATCGGACTCGAGTTGCCGCCAACTCAGCTCCTTCAGCTTGCGATTCGCTGCCTGGTGCCATGCTCGAGGTGCCTGCACCAGCCCGTACGCCGACTTCTTCAGGATGGCCGCCTGACAAGAGCGCAGTCCCAGCATCCCCGCGATCTCGCCAGTGGGCTCGACGAACAGGTCACGGTCAAGCTCTTCACCCTGAAGGAACGCAGACTTCACGTCGCCCTTGGCCACCCGCATCTTCAGGTTCGCCGCCTTCTGTAGAAACACCTAACGGGCGGTGCGAGTCGCTGTCGGAGCGTCCGACTCCTCGGTGGTGAGGTCTGGGTCCTGGAAACCCAGAATCACTAGCCGAGCCTTCGCACGTCGACCCCCGGTTTCTGCAGGATCGATCTTCCACGTCAAAACCATATGAGGCGCATCAGTCGGTCGCTGGGAGCCGCGACATGGCTCGGTTGACCTTCCAGGACCATCTCCTTGATCCACTCCTGCGCCTCCTTCACCTTGGCCTTCTTGAACTTCTCCAAGTCTGCGGCCGACAATGTCCGCTCTCGAACCTCCGCACGCAAACGTCGCAGTTGAGTGGCCACAAACGCTGGTAGGTCACGTGCGGCCGCGCCGCCTCGCGCGACTTCGGGAAGACTGATCTCCACCTCGATGGCGTTGTCCTCCCTGCTCCAGAAGCACTCGAACGGCTGGACCTCTGCCGTCAGGCCCTGCTCCTCGGTCAGGTCACGTCGCTTCTGTCTGTCCAACCGCTCCTTGCCGCAGTGATCTCCGCCGGCCGCCGCAGCTGGTGGAAGACCGCCCCAGTCATACGGTGAAGGTCTCGATGGAGTCGTTCGAGATTTATTTGGCGGCCTTGCAGGTGTCGCCGGAAACGTAGCCGTCTCCGGCTCCCGGCCCTGAGAGGCTGGAACTGATGCGCTCGCTGCCGACGGTCCAACTCGTGGCTGTTTGGACGATGTGCGAGGCTCCGTCGGCACCCGCTTGCCGCTGATACGTCTCTTAGGCTCCTCCGCCACTGGTGGAACCGTCGGAAATGGAGGTGCATCTCCTGCGTCCACAAACTCCGTGTCGCTCGGTATCAGTCGCGGATCATCAGCGAGGTCCTCATACTGACCGGCTCTAAGACCCTGGCTCATGTTGTTGAACGTCCACGGCATCTCGGTACCACGTTTGATCTCGTGCTCGGCCACCTCTCGATCACAGGCATCGCGTAGCTGACAAGGATCACATCGAATGAGGCGGCCACACGCGTTCAGCCACACGCGAGGTCGAGGTTGAACTTCACCGTTCCTGTGAACCGTCTCCGTAGCCAGAACTCGGGCTGGACCGTAGAACCTGCCCGTCATGGAGCTGCTCTTCGGGTTCCTGAAATAGTACACCAACGTGCCCGGGGTGTATACATTTAGCTTCCGCGATCTGGCATGACTGGCCCGGCGAGCACGTTCGGCATAGACCCATCTGAGCATCGCCTCCTGCGCCTGCCGCATGAATTTGAAATTCCCCCCGAACGCGGCGTCGACCGCCTCCGACTCCAGCGCCGGAAGGTTGACTGGATCACCTGGCGCGTCCATGAATGTCCCGTCGAGGTCTGGTGCTCGGCCAAGGGCCACCTGCAGCGGTGAGAAGCCCCGATGCCTGTCGAGCTCGCTATAGGCTGCCATCGCGCGCGCCAGGTACTCCTCGCATGACCTTCCCGGGCACTCGCGAGCCAAGACGGTCATCAGATCCTTGATGAGGCTGATGAGCCGCTCGACGCCGCCGATCTGCCAGTGCGCCTGCCCAAGGATGGGATCCATCTGAATGCCGCTGGACTCCATGTTTTCACGGATGGTCTTGCTCATCCAGGCGCCCTCGGGATCGACTTGAAATATCCGCGGCCGGCCAAAATAGGAGATCCACCTGCTCCAGATCGAGTCGTTCAACTCCTCGGCGGTCGCGTTCTTACTCTTGACCATCTTGAACAGGACATGTCCAACTCCGAGTTTCGAGCCCTGGTCAAGGTACAGCACTAACTTGAACTTCTCGTGGCTGCACGGGCCCCCCACTCGGCTAGGTCGCTCTGCAAAACAGCCGACTTCTTCGGCACATCATCCGCCGAGCCGACGGGGCGTGGAGGCCCTTGCTTTTGGCTCTCGTCACAGGCCGGGCATCGCATGCCTTTCACGTGCTCCACGATCCTCTTGTCAGCACCTCGAGCTGCCAACGACCTGGCGACTTGGGCAAACGGACAGTGTCCGCACGCCGCGTGGATCCGACAGGCCGCGATCTCCACCTTCCGAAGCTCGTCCGGGTGGATCCCTGTCTTCGAGGCACTCACTGCGTAGACCGCGTCGATCTCTTCGTCCTCGGCCTCGAATTCGCGCACGAGGTTGCAGATCTCCTCAACCCTCGGCGCTTCCAGCATAGCCCGGGCCGCCCTCTTGACGAACGCGTCGGGGCAGTACGCTGCGGCCGCCGTCCTGACACCGCCGACACAAAGACTGCGCTCATGACGCCCGTCGCACCTGATGGCCATGCGCTGACACATGCGGTCGGAAGTGGTCCAGATCTCCCAGGGTTTGACCATCGGCAACCCCGTGTCACGAGCTTTGACGCCCAGCATGCAACCATCGCAGACCACCGGCCGCATGTCGCACCCCCTGAAGACCTGCTTCACCTCTGGCCACCGGTACGGCTGCAAGTCCTTCGGCCACTCCCAGTGTGCACGACCTCGATCCGCCACCTGGTCCATGACGAGGATCAGGCAGTTCCTGATGAGGCGCTTGGACCTTTTTCGACTCAAAGGAACCTGCGCCCAGACCTCTGGCTTGTGACGATTGAAGTTGTTATTGCCAGACCATGGCCACAAGGTAAGGAAAACCACATGTGCTCCGGACGGACTCGCTCTCGCTCAGCTCTGGCCTCTTGCAGGCCTGCAGTGGTGGATAAATCGAAACCGTTCCAGCCACTAATTCGACTCGCACTGTCCGCACCCGACTCTTGCATCACGAATTGAGATAGGCCCGACGCTGGTGAGCAACAGACCTCCATTAGCTTGACTCTCGCCGCCCCTGTCAGGAACGCCCATGCTGGCGTCGCACTCTTGTCCAGACACCCCGCCAGCCAGGTAGCCTGAGAGTCAGTGAGATCCCTCAGTGGCCCTGCGCGCGGCCGGCCCAGGCGGGCCGCTCGACACTGAGCTCGTCCCCCTCACCTTCTGCGCCCTGGTCGCGAGCGCATTCATGGCCATCTTCATGTCCCCAAGCAGGTCGATGATCTGCTCCTCCTTGGACGTCCCGGTCTCCATCGCGGCGGCCTCCTCGGTCATGGAGCGCTTTGCCGCCGTGCGCTGGCGAGTCTGGTCCATGACCGGCAGCCACGGGCCCGTCGTCTTCTCGAGCTTCTCCCCTTACCCTGGGCTGAGGCAGTTCGAACTTGTTCATCATGTCCTCGGACTTGACCCCCTTCATTACCAGCCAGTCGGTGAGACGCTTGAGGCGTGGATTGCTCCAGCTCACCAGCCACCCGGCATGCTCCCGTTCCTTGTCCAGAAGCTCCTGGATGGTCAACGTCCGGTGACGGCCGAACGGCATCCTGTCGGAGCCCTTGACCATTCCCAGGCACTGCTCGTGTTTCTCGGTGATCAGGATCTGGAGGTCGCCGCGCGTCTCCTTGCCCGTCAGGACACAGCCCATGGTAATCGCATCCTCGACAAGCTCGGCATTCTTCTTGTGGCGCGCTAGTGCACCACCGACTGGCATTGCCTTGTAGATCTGGCGCAGCCTGGCCCTCAGCATGTCGCACGTCATGTGGGTCCCGTCCTCGCCCCATAGCGCCAGCTCGGTAAGGAGCTCCGCCTTGCGCACGCGGGGCGTGGCAGGGTGCTGGCACATCTGATCGCACGTTCGGAGGCTGCGGAATGCTCGAGAAAGCCGACGCTTGAGCCGACGCCCTCTGGGACTGAAGTGTTGTTGACCATGTTGGATGTTGTCTGCCGTCGGCCTTCCGTAGGGCCGATTATTCTGCTTCGGGGCCCCGAGGAGGTCCCCTGGACACTGGATCACCCACGACATCTTGATTAGGTTCCCCGAGAGTGGATTCCTTCAGATTCGTAGACCTACTCTGTGGACCTGTGGTGATTCTAATAGCTCCCGCAGAGGTACACAGTGGGCCCGTAGACCTGCTCTGTGTTCCCGTAGATCCCATTGGAGATCCCGCGGAGGTCCTCTGTGAGCCAGTAGATGTACTTGAGAACCTCGTAGTCTTACTCGGAGCTCCCGTCGATGCCCTGCAAGGCCCAGAGGATGTACATGGTAACCCCGTGGGGCCTGGAAGTGCCTCTGAACCTGCGCTGCTGTCGGTGATCGATGCCGCCAACGCCAGAGGTGATGACGATGAGGAGGGAGGGATGCATGACGCACCGGACTCATGCGACTCCTCGCCTGCTGGGACCCCAGCGGGCTTGTCTGCAAGTGCTGCCACTCCCCGACTCAGAATGCAATATGCCGGCCTTTCGACACTTGCCGCGCCGCCCAGCAAGTCGCACGTCAGGTCGATCAGTAGGTGGCCAGTACGGGACCTGGGAAACGAGATCATCCTGAACGGGTCTATATTCTTGAAGATACCACAGGCTGCATCAAAATCCACGATGGCCCCCAGGTTGTTCAGCGTCTCAATCGACACCAGGATAGGGATACCTTTCGCGTCGATAGCGTGAACGAAAAACGACACGCATTCACCTTGCACCAAAAGAGTAAGCTTGACCCGGCACAGGACACGCTTCACCTCCCCGTTGCCGAACTTGTAGACGGGCCGGTCCTGCAGGTCGACCTCCATCGGCGGATGCCCCCTCGAGATCAGGATCTCGTTGAGGGTCTCCACCGCCTCGATACCTCCGATGGTCTTCGTCGCCCCGCAGTACATGATACCGTGGCCCTCTCGACGATGTATGCCATCCTGACCTCTGGGTCGTCGAATTCCACCACGTTGCCAAGCTCCTCTACCTGCAGCACGGTCTCGTCATCTGAGCGGGTGTCGTACTCCGTCATGAAAACGAAACCGTGGAGCTTGGCGCCGCCGTCGCCGCCACCCCGGCCAGGTGCCGGGCGGTTCTGGCTCAACTTGGGGCCCGCCCTGTCCGGACAGCTCCCTGTGCGATGGCCACCTCCGCACTTGAGGCGCGGACCCTGGCGCCCGTCGTTTCGCTGGCCCCCCCCCGAGCCGAAGAACTTCCTGCCCGTGCGGTGCCTGTTGATCTGTTGCCGTGCGTCCTGCAGCCTTCTCTGGCTCGCCTGGAAATGGGCGTAGGCTTCCTCTTCCTCCGTGACCGCTGTCGCGTAAGCCTCGTCGTCGACGCCTTCTTCCTCGCCTTCCGTTGTCGACGCCACTGCCATCGCATTGTCTCTCTCGTCACCGTCGCCCCAGGTCTGAACGTCATCCCCGTAGAACGCCGCCGCCCGGATGAACTTCGACTTCCCCTGTCTTTCAGGTTCTCGTCACTAAGCCACTGAGTCCTGAGAGCGCTCTCGACATTGTCGACTGTGAAATCGCCGCGGCACGATCCGATCACTGCTGCTATCTCGCCGCCGTCCAGGCCTGCGCGATGTAGTAGATACCATCCTCTGATCACACTCGGCAACACCTCTGGCAAGTCCTGGGCGGGGAAAGAGCATTGACTGCTGCCTCCGGCCCCGCCATGGGCCCATGGATATCTGTCCCAGCTCTGCCATCCAGTGTTGCGCCACCTGTCCTGCCGTCCGCGGTCACCGTGCCACACCTGTCCGTGCCGCTGAGCTTCGGGAACTTGCCAGTCTCGCACTTCAGGTGCTTCCTCATCGCCCCCGGGAGTGCCCTCTTCACTCTCGACGCGGTGCCACGGAGCATCACCTGGACTGTGTTGGCCGCCCGTCGGCCATTGACTGAATGAAGCTGCTTGGGTATCAGGCGTGTCCGGAATGAACTGGTCCTTGCCGTTCTTCCTGAGCATTCTAGCGAGAACCACTCGAAGACGCTGGTAGCTCTCGTGTACACGAAGGCAACACTCAGCCATGCCCTCACCGCGCCGGCGGCGGAGCTTCACGAAGTACTCCTCCATGCAGTGTCCGACGTCCTCAATCGGCTGTCGCATCACATTCTTCTGTAGGTACTCCAGCAAGTAGTCAGCACCCCAAGAGTTGGACAGCCATCCGCGAGGCCGACCGATGCAAGCTGTTGCCGCTGCACCCGTCAGTCGAGCGACCAACCTGGGGCCGCACAGATACCTGTCCTCCCACTTCGTGCCGTCCACGTAGTTCATCACATCCTGCTGGAACTTCTCCCACGTGCCGGCGCTGCCGTTCCACGTCGGCACCGTCGGGGTCTTCATGACCTCTGTCATGTCTCCGTGGAGCGGAAACCTGCTCCGCTACCATGTGAAGCGAAGCTTCACAGGGTGCACTCCTTTTCCACACGGCCAGCACTCGTCCTCGTTGCTGGTCTCCACCAGGCGCTCCTCTGGCACCTTCTCGCACACGCACGCACTGCTGAGCTGGGAGAGATAGGGTGTTGGGTACGGAGTGTTCGTATTGGGCTCGATATAAGTAGAAATAGAAAGGCGAGGGAGGTACTCTTACCTCCGGGGCACCCGTGGCCCCGATGAAGGCCTGTAGCACAAATGGATATGGACAGAGCGAATGACTGCACACTGAGATGAACCGAGAGAAATCGACACCCTCCCCCTCCGCCTCCCCCTCCTCCTCCTCCTCCCCCTCCTCCTCCTCCTCCTCCTCCTCCTCCTCCTCCTCCTCCTCCTCCTCCTCCTCCTCCTCCTCCTCCTCCTCCTGTCTCCCACTGGCCTCAGGCGGATCCGATGGGCAAGCACGAGGAGCGCGCTGGGGCTGCCACTTGCCCGTGGCGACGGCAACGGCGGCGGCGACGGCGGCGGCGACGGCTATGACGGCGGGAGCGAAGGCGGCCACCGAGCAGCGATGTCGCCCGCCCAACCCTAAGAGACGGGGGGGGGTCGTTGGCGCCTGCTGCTCCGCGGCGCCCCGCACTCGCGCAGCGCCGCGGCGCAGCCCTCGTAGCCGAGCGCCTCGGCCAGGTCGAGCGCCGTCTGGCCCCGGCTCGCGTGCGCCGCGTCAGCGCGGCGCGCCAGCAGTAGCCTGCACACCGCGGGGGCGTTGGCGCCCACGGCCTGCAGGAGCGCCGTGTCGCCCCGACGGTCGGGCAGCTCGGGGTCCAGCCCGGGGAAGCGGAGCAGGCACTGGCAGGTACGGTGGTCCTTGTTAGCGGTGCGCACCAAGGGGTGAGGGGGGGCAGGCTTCTTACAAGGAGTATACTTCTCAGAAGGCGCCGGCCCTACATGTATAGAAAGGGCCCGCACCCGCTAAGAAGCAGGGGTTCCTCTATGAAGCCCTCCCCCATCACCCATCCCTCCCGTGCGCGTGGCTGACCTTGTTCACGATGGCGTAGCGCAGCGCGGAGCAGCCCATCGCGTCCTGGTGGTTCAGCCCCTCCGGGCTGCACCAGCGCGCGATCAGCCAGGCGACGTCCACCAGCCCGCAGCGCGCGGCCACGATGAGCGGGGACCGCCGCATGTTCTCGACGCTGGCGCACTCCTCGTCTGCGCGCCCGAGCTGCTGAGGCTCCTCTGAGCATCTTTTGACTGATCCCTATCCCTACTGGCGTGGCCTGGGTCCCACTGGCCACTCTCTGAGATGGATGTGTTCTCAAACGCTATGCCTGCAAAATCAGGTGGCACCGTCGCCCTCGTCGGGTTCTGGGCTGATCCAATCAAAGCTGCGGAGATGAGAGGATGCGAGCACGTGAAAAAAAGCAGAAGCAACCATTGAGTGAACGCCCCCCTTGGCTGACTGCGTCTGCTGCTACCCTCCCTCGGCGCTATACTCGAGTTGGCCTGAGATGAACTGCGTGCATTGGGAAGTCGAACCTGTTTCCAAAAAAAACACTTCCCAGTACACGCAGTTCATCTCCCCCTTGGACGGGGATGTAGGCTGCGTCCTTCGGGTGTCGAGGGGCACAGCCCGAACTGGGGTGGTGGGATGGTGGGGATTGGGATGGGGATGGGGATGAGTAGGGCGACGGGATCTGTACATTTCCATTGCCCAGGCCTGGCTCATCCTGGGCCCAGGAGCGGTGCGTATGCCCTCCTGGCTTGGCCAGGCCTTGAGCAATGGATATGTATGTATGTATACACATATATATATGTGTATATATAAATATGTATATATATATATATAAATCTCAGATGGTTTTCTCCTTGAAGCTGCGACGAACGACTAGAAATTTCGTAGACATACGGAACAATCTTCGTATGTTTCGTAGACTCGCCTGGAAAAGCAAGTCTGGGTTGAATCACTTTTGTAGTCGATCCCCTACTCGACTGTTTCGTTGCCCTACTGAGGACAGGGATCGGTTCAACGATGCTGATCTAAGGTGCCAAACTCTATAAACCGACGCTTTTTCCGGCCCCGCACTGAAACTCGCACACTAAAACGGATCCTGGTGTATACGGGATTCTGGTGTACACATTTCTCGCGGCTTCCCCAGAAGAACGGGGGAAAAGCCATACACCACACCACCCCGATATCGCCCCCGACCCACAAAAGTCCTGGGAATGAACAACTCGAGGCCTCCTAGATGGGGTCCGGGTAGATGGGATCGGAGGAAGTCGCCGCATCACCGATGCATCGGCGTTGCACTGGCGACGTCGGCGATGCATCGACGACGTCGGCGTGGGGAAAATAGTGCCCCACATCGAGCCGCATCGCCGATGCATCGCCGATGCATCGGCGATGAGGCGCGATCCCCGGGCCCCATCTACTCCGACCCCACCTAGGAGGCCTAGACAAACAGCCCGCCACTGGCAATGCATGTGTTCCAGCTTCTGATTATCCTCGGCCGCCGCTGGGCGCCGCGCCAGCAGGACGAAGGCCGCGGCGAAGGGCGCCGGGCCCGCCGCTCGGCACAGCGCCGCAGCGCGGCGCGGGCCGGCCCGCTGGGAGGGCGCGTCCTCGTCCGCCGCGGCGCCCGCGGCGCGGCGTGAGAAAGGCCTCAGCAAGGCGTGGAGCGACGGCGGGTCGGGCAGGCACGCCTCCCAGGCGCCGGAGCGCGCCACGCCCGAGGCCGCCTCGAAGGACCACGAGCGGGCCAGGATCGGCCCCGCCTGGGACGCACAAGGACAGACTAGTACGATGTGTCCTCCTCAAGGGGGCCACATGCGAACCCTACCCCTGCCCCCCACGATTTCCGAGGGGGAGGGTGGGGTTCACTTCGCTCGAGAGTTCCCGAACGAAGTGAACCCCACCCTCCCCCTCAGAAATCGTGGGGGGTAGGGGCAGGGTTCGCATGTGGCCCCCTACTCCTTGGAGGCGCGCGTCCGACCCGAACATCTAGTATACCCATCTTGTAGCACATCGTTTCCCGAGCGGTGTGGCCAGAAAGTGCCCGTCACGACGCATATGCGAAGTCGTGTCTCGGTGCGCGCGACGCCCCTGCGTGGGCGATGCACACACAGTGTTCGTGTGCTGGGGTGGCGCCGACCGCCTCCCGTGCGGCCAGCCCCGCCCGCGGCCCTAGCAGCGCCAGCACCCGGTCGCTCAGCTCCGGAGCGCCCAGGACAGCCGTCCACGCCATGCAACGCGCTGCGGAGGCCCACCCGCGGGCGTCCCTCCCTGCCCCCTCCCCCGCGCCCCTCGCTCACTGCCTGAGGGAGGGAGGGAGGGAGGGAGGGAGGGAAGAGTGAAGGGAGGGAGGGAGGGAGGGAAGAGTGAAGGGAGGGAGGGAGGGAGGCAGGAAGGCAGGGGGGGAGAATTGAGGGCACCACGGAGCAAGGCTTGTCAGGCGAATTCTTCGGCGTGCGACTCTGGCATGGGGGTCTGCCTCCAATTGGGCGCGCACTTCCCATCTTTAACTATCCGTGATGTTTCATGTTCGCTGCAATTGGTTGCCCATACGCATTTCATTTTGAGCTTGTGGCCCAGAACTGGTGCATCCCAAATATAGTCAGCCGCGGCTGAATTAGTGGCGGCTCGAACGAACTAATCATGCTCAGCCCCTCGCAACCATGTCAATAAACAGCGTCCGATCCCACTTTGCCGTACCCGTTGAGCAAAGAGTAGCAGCAGCTACATGTTCGAAGAGCACTGTAACACATCTCGTTTAACACGCAGGGGGGAGGAGAAGGAAGGGAGCGATCAAGAAGGAGGCAAGAAGGAGAGAGTGAGGGAGCGCCCGATGTGCTGTACGGCTTCTAGCCCTCGGAAGAGGCACACGTCGATCCCGCAAGTCCAACACGACAAGAAGGGCGACCCAGCCCGGGCGCGGGGAGGGGCGTCATACTGTACCGCCTCTGGCCCTTTTAAGGAACCACGTGGATCTCGTGGGCGCCTAATTTCCCGACGCTCCAAGACGGCCCCAAGGCCTCCAAGAGGGCCCCAAGACGGCCCAAGAGGGCCCCAAGACGGCCCAATGAGGCGCCCAAGACGGCCCAAGAGGGCCCACAGACGGCCCCTAGAAGGAGCCCAGATGGGGAGCCCGAACGGACATTTCGAGCCCTCGGCCCCGAGGGGCCCCAGGAGGACCAAAGAGGCCCCCAAGAGGCCCCAAGAGGCCCCCAAAAAACCACGAGAAACCAAGCACGGTGGCTGGATGGGCCGACGGCCATTGAAATCTGCATCGCCTATGGCCCTTTCAAGCACCACATCTGGATCTGTGGATGCCTATTCCTACTACAAAGAAAGGAAGGCCCGGCCCTGGCGTGGGGGGGGGGGGCATACTGCACCGCCTCTGGCCCTTGGAAGGAGCACATGTGGACCCCGCGGGAGACACTCGCGACAAGGAGGGCCGGCGGCCCGGGCGCGGGGAGGTTCTACTAAACCGCCTTTGGCCCCTTCAACGAACTATGGGTGGCTCCCGTGTGTGCCTACTACACAAAATGGGCGACCCAGCCTGGGCGTGGGAGGGGGTGCCGTTGCACTGCGCCGCCACTGGCCCTTTAAAGAACCACATGTATATCCCGTGGGTTCCTAGACGACAAAGAGGGAAAGCCTTCACACTCTATCACATCGGGCCTTTGGAAGAACCACACGTGGACCCCGTGGTTTCCTGGTCGACAAGGAGGGCGACCAGGTCTGGGCGTGGGGGGGGCGCTATAGTGCGCCGCCTCTGGCCCTTTCAAGAACTGCATATTCTTCGTGGGTGGGGAGGAGGCGTTTTACACCGCCTCTGGCTAATTAAAGAACCACACGCGGATCCCGCGGGTGCCTACTACGACAAGGAGGGCAAGCCCGCCCAGGCGTGGAGGGGGGCCGTTATACTGTACCGCCTCTGGCCCGTAAAAACACATGTGGATCCCGTGGGATCCTAGCACGACAATGAGGCGACTGGAAGGACTTTCCTGTGTTGGCAGGCGCCAGCCCGAGCCTCAGCTCAAGCCAAAATAAAGCAGCTGGAGCCCGACGTTGCGGCCAGCCGCCTGAGGAGAGGCTCGTTTAGTCCACGATCTCCCCTTCGCATCAGCGAAACACATAAACAATTATCCCGGCAAAGCAACCTAACAGCGATGTGTATAAGCATATCTGGAAGCATTCCCCTCAAGATTCAGGTGAGACTCCAGTTGTAGAATTCTGCTGTTATCGCAGTCGCAGTCGCATTCGCAATGACAGTCGAAGTGGCAACGGCCTTAGGATCCAATGGAATCCTAAGGATTCCTAGGATTCCTAAGGCATCCGTAGGATTCCTACGGATGCCTACGGATTCCTAAGGATTCCTGGGGATTCCGAAGGATTCCTATGGATTCCTACGGATGCCTCGCCCTGCCTCAGTTTCAGTCTCAGCCTCAGCCTGCCTCGGCTTGCCTCAGCCTCAGCCTCAGCCTGCCTCGGCCTCAGCCTGCCTCGGCATCAGCTGATAGATGGGTTGAGTTTTTTCAGAGCTCGAGCTAGGATATCATTGCCCCTTTGAGAACCTGACCCGCCTGGTGCAGGATCGGATAGATCACCTGCCCCCAGCTGACTCACAGGTAGCCAAGGCCATGCCGACGCTGATAGAGTTTGAACAGCGCATGATGCAGGTCTCTCCGCACTGTTTTAATGGTCTTGACGGAGTACCAGGATCAGTCATTAAGAAATTCCCTGTCGAGTTTGCGAGACATTACTACCCCCTCCTCTGCAAGTTTGTCCTACTTGGGGCCGAACCCCTACAGTGGAAAGGTTCAAGGATTGCTCCTCTCTTCAAGGGGAAGGGCAACCATTCAGTCTGCAGTCGGTCACGCTCTATTGCCGTTGGGTCCCAGGTCGGAAACAAGGTCCATGCCTGTTTTGATTTACGCCTGAGGCCCCACCTAGAAAAATACGTTGCTGCTAGTCAACATGGAGGAGTCCTGAAGAGAAGGACGGACTTTGCTTCACACACTGCCCGCCTCCTAGGAACACTTGCTCGTAACCGTAAGGTGTGTTTGGGCATGCTCTTCGTCGACCTGGAATCAGCGTTCAACTATGTTGTACGAGAACTTGTAGCCTATGACACACCCAGTGATGAGCATATTGCCCATCTCTTTCGCAGCATAGATCTGCCAGCTGACACATGGCACAAGTTTCAAGAGCGCCTTCATCAAGGCACGCTTTTTGAACAGCTGGGAGTGCCCGAATACCTGCTTCGTGGAGTTGCCGAGTCACTACGAGGCACATGGTTCGGAGTCCAGGGATCAGGAAGGATTGGCATCACTACGCGAGGGTCTCGTGCAGGCAACCCTCTGGCGACCACGCTTTTCCTGTTCGTAATGACGGAATGTTTGAAAGAAGCTCACGACCTAATAGATGCAGCAGGACTGGCAGTGCAAATACCCAAGGTCCCACCCCACTCGGTCTTGGAGGATACCTCCCCAGAGCCCCTAGAGATCCTAACAGGGTCCAGTCCCCAGGTTGGCCTACATGACGCTAGCTATGCTGACGATGCGTTGTTTTTTTTACCATGGGACCGCCATCACAAATCCTTGGGCAAATAAAACAGCTTACCACCATTATATGTGACGTGTTTTACCCCAGAAATTTCAAGGTGAATTTCGGACCTGACAAAACAGCCATCATGATTCAATTCAGGGGCAAGGGTAAGCAAGAAGCATATCGGGAGCTATGGCACGTTCGAGATGGACACTTACATCTCCCCCCAGCCCCATATGCTCCTACTAAGGGTTTTTTGGTTCCAGCAGTTCATCGGCATCGTCATCTTGGGGGAATACTAACCGACCAAGGAGATATGTTTGCCGAGCTTGCCCATCGCACACGCGAGACCACAGGCTTGCTGTCAACGCTCCGCAAGACAGTTTTCAAGAGCCACACCCTGATTGACCAGAGGAAGCTCCAGCTTGGCGATAGCCTGGTACAGTCAGGACAGTTGCATAACGCGTGCGTTTGGCCGCCACTCACTAGAGGACAGATGAGCAACCTCCAGACCCAGGTGACAAGAATATATCGAGCTGCTTTGAATCTGCCAGTCTATTCACAGGACACTGCTACCACAGCCCATGTCTTGGTGCAAGCTCAACGACCGGACGTTGAGACCACGTTGCGCTGGCACCGACTTCGGTACCTAGGACGCGTACTACACTTTGGACCGCAGCCCCTTAGGGCCCTCATAGCAGCCTACTCAGAGTCCACAATGGGGCTCAGAACTCAGATCGAGAATGACCTTAGGTGGATGATCACCCGCCATAGCGAGTTGCGTTTGATGCCGTCCCCTGGGACCGATTTCCACTATTGGGAAAAAACGATCATGGGGTCTCTCCCACAATGGCGGTCCAAAGTAAAATCAGCTATACATGCACATGTGCGATGATACGTAATCATGATGCCCAAGTACGTATGCAGCATATCTTAGCCCTGGCACATGACAATGGTTTTCCTTCTCCACGTGATCTAGCACCAATACTACCAGCACATGAATTACGTTACACATGTCAGTATTGTCATAAGGAGTTTGGAACGATGAAGGCCATGACAGCACACGTAGGCGCGCTACATTACCAGGCGAGGCGCATCGTCTCCAAGTTTGCCGAGTCCAATGCATGTGGGATCTGTGCAAGGCAGTTCTCATCCATCGAGTTGGTCAAGGACCACCTCGCCTACAGCTCGCCCAAGTGTCTCTACCTCTCTCAGCTCCACCTCACACCTCTCACAGAAGAAGAACAAGAGCAAGTCATGCGCACCTCAGCACACAGCAGAGAACCCATGACAAGGCACAAGGAGTGCCAAGGCGAGGAGCTAGAGTCCGAGCATGTCGGCAACGGGTGGCTGTGCCAGAATTTGTACACCAGTGCAAGATCTCCCAGGCGGAAGCAGCAGAGATACTTCGAGAAGCGGAGTATCAAGTTGGCCCTGCAGCCAGTTATTTAATTCCACAGCCAGGAGTGCCCATGCATAAGTGGGAACATCACCCAGGGGATGAAGGAGATCAGGAACCCTGATGCATATGCACATGATTTCCCGTACCGCCGAGAGGACTTCAGAGATTTTCGTACCTCATGCATGGTGCCAGAAATGAGATACACCGGTGTGGCCTTTTTGCATCTGTTTTCTGGAGCAAGGTGACCAGATGACTTTCAAGAGTGTCTTGCATTTGCGACGGCGGTGGCCCCATATCAGGTTATTGTTATTTCACTAGATGTTGCCATTGATGCCCAGCTAGGTGATTTAACACAG